CTACCATTCAAAGGAATAATAATCAAGCACATGTGCTTTAGTATGTTAGTCAACATATCAAATTTAGTGTAATTCTATAAAGCGTCAAGAGTCTATGAAAGTGTCTCTTTAAGTCACTTAAGTGGTCTTTTATTTATAACTTTTTTTCACAAGTGTACAACAGTCGTCTGTGGGCAGCAGCAACAAAGACTGGATTTTGGTAGATTTATTATTTCAGCTTTTGCCCTGGGACAAATGACATTTCAATATTCATTTGGATGTCATGGGACATGTGCTGGAGATGATGAGGCTGTCTTCTCCATCCTCCTCTTCATCCGTCTGGGATCATGCCACACACACTTTCTAGGTTACAATAAAGCTGCTGTTCACTCCATTATGATAGCATCATGAGATGGACTCATATTGGTCAATCCAGCAGCCAGCAGGACAGATGCCAGAGTTTAATTTTCTGTTTTGAGATATCGGCTACATCTGTTGCTGTTGGTCATTTTTCCATGTGCTGTTCCCTGGTTGTTGAATCATGTCTGGCTGCTTCTCAGAGACACTGGGGAACATGGTCTTGGAAAACAAACAACGGAAGTGCCCATATCTGTGTGTGCACATCATACGGTTGATGAGCGAAGCAAGCAGCCCACCATGAAAACCTCTTCATCAGCAATAAAACATTAATATTACAAAAATAAGAGAAAGTAACGATATGTACACCATTATATATCACCACATGGTTTTAGTATATAGAAGCACCATATTACCCTAGCACATTCACTCTTAAGACACTATTTTGGGAGCGATTGAAGTCCACATCTTTCCTGACTCCCATTTCATAAAATGAACCCGACCGGTAATGATCCGTCTCAATGCACATGAATCTGGGTACTTACCACTCCTCAACACATCACATTATACCGACACCACAATAATAGCATTTCTACTTTTTTCATCCCTTAATCAATGGGCGACAAAATTACCCCATGTTAATGTCAGGGACATTTCAATGCAGCATGGTCCATGAATCCTCTTTGGAAGGCTATCATTAATTCAAACTCTAGCGTTGATATTTTTTATTGCTCTCCCATGGAGAAAGTCAAGGAAAGTGTCAATCAAGACATTTATTAAATTCACAAGTGAGATGCCACTAAATCTCTCAGATCAATGGCAGCAGTTTCAACAGGGCCCGTAGACAAGGAAGAGAAAGAGGAACTCAGTGCACTGTCCAGAGACGGAGAGCATTTAGGAATTCATTTTCTTTCTAATAATATTTCACAAAAGCTGACTGCTAATAGTCTAATGTAGTGAATTCATGGGTCGTTAACGTGTTATGCTCTTGATGGAGTGAGAGAAAACACTGAAGCTTCGGGCAAAAACATGCAACTTCATTCATTGCTCTGCTCACACGCTAACAATTTGCAAATGCTACACATATGAATATTTACATGCACTGTCAGTGATGTTTCAGCATCTAATTCACTAAATTAATTGCGCAAATTCTGTAAAATATATGTCCTGTTAAAAAATAAAAATTAAAAATCTGTTCTAAACACAATGTAGCTTCCTCCCTCCTTTACTGGCCAGTTTTAATTGCAAATATATGTAACTACATGAGATATAAGTATATTTTAGCTTATCATAAATGCTTGGTAGTACATTCATCAGTAACTTTAACCATATTTCAAAAACAATAAATGCTATTATGAAATTACATATAAATATATACTCTAGTCCTATAGTTAAGTGTGTCAAAAGCACTCAACTAATTCAGCTAATTGCATTTAATGTTTATTTTAACTGTAATACATTTTCATTTCACTGTAAATAGCATGTAATTAAGTGTCTTGAAAACATTACATTCAGTTTGCACGTATATTATTTTCACAATCAGAAGCAATCTTGGAGTGAGAGAAAACACTGATGCGCAGACTCGCTCCAGGCAAAATCACACAATTTCATCGCTAAGCACAGCATACGCACTCTAAATATGTGCAAATACTGCACATATGAAGAATATTTTTTCATGCACCGTCATGTTTCACCACCCATTTCACTAAAATAATTGTTCAAAATCTATGCAATTTGTATTATGCAGCATCCTAGCTTGCAGGCCAGTTGTGAATACTTGGTTATGGAAGATGCAGTAGACTATTACAAACTAGCATTATTTATTGAGACACTGTACAGCTTTTTTTATTATTTTTTTGTAGTCTTTACAATGATGAACCAGTGCTTGACCCCCCCAAACATCTGTATATTTATCTTTCTATACACACACTTCTCCATTATTTGATGAATTACTGAATAGCACTTTACGTTTTAATGTTTTTACAAGTTGTTAATTAAAAATTAAAGCAAAGATTATTGAAGTATGTTTTACAAGACAATATTATTTTTATAATATAAAAATAACTTTTTATCTCACAAGTTGGATTCCCCCCCCCCCCCCCCAATGGTACGATGGCATTTTAGTGCCACGTTAAAAAATAAAAATAAATAAGATTACGAGATTAAAGTCATAATATTTCGAGAATAATGTCGAAGTTACGAGAATAAAGTCAAAATATTACGAGAATAAAGTCGAAATATTACGAAAATAAAGTCGAAACACTACGAGAATAAAGTCGAAATATTTCGAGAATAAAGTCGAAGCACTACGAGAATAATGTCAAAATATTTCGAGAATAATGTTGAAGTTACAAGAATAAAGTCTAAATATTATGAGAATAAAGTTGAAACACTACGAGAATAAATTCGAAATATTTCGAGAATAAAGTCAAAATACTACGATAATAAAGTTGAAATAGTTTGAGAATAAAGTCGAAATGTTTCGAGAATAAAGTCAAAATACTACAAGAATAAAGTTGAAATATTACGAGAATAAAGTCGAAATATTACGAGAATAAATTCAAAATGTTTCGATAATTTAAATTGCAGAAATTAAAGTTATAATATTTTGAGTATAGCCTATTATGCATGCAAATTTCCTGGATTGAGAGCACCGGGAGAAGTTGCCAGGCCACCGGAATTTGAATATTGTTGCGTCCGAGCGGCTGCATCATCTTACTTGATTCGTTTAAAAAAAAACGAAATGTGTTGTGATTGGTTCACTATCGCAGTGCGTTGTGATTGGGGAACAGCTTAGATGGTGCTTCAGTACTGCCACGCCCCTTGCTCTGTCTTTCAACAAAAGCTTTTTGGTGAATCCGGCACTCAGTGTACTCCCTCGTGTTGTGGAAGCTGTCCTCAGTAAAATGCGCAGCACAAAATATCAAATTGGGGTTATAATGCTCAAGAACAGAGTTAAAAAATAAATTGCAACCACTGTTTCCTGACATCATCCGCTTTCGGAAGCTCAAACAAAGACGTTTGGGGATGGAGGTGAAAAAAACCGCACACCGGATGAGAAGCGCAGCGTCACGTCATGCCACGTCTTTAAATTTCTATTTCATTATTTTCTATGAGTGTACACACACCGGCGGTGCCGTTCGGCGTCTGTCCGCGGCACCCAGCTACATCAAACAAATCTAAAAATAACAAAAAACAAATCTATCATATAAAGGACATTGTTTAAAAAATAAAAATCTAAATGTCCATGGACAACTGCATAACTAGAAATAGTAGCACAGTGATTACTAAAGTGATTTATAATAGGTTCTGAAAGACATTTTCAGTACTTGAAAAATATGCAAAGATCAATAAACCGTATACTATATAAAGTACAGCTACAGCTTAAACGCATGCTATTGCTCCTGTCCTTTATAATGAAGATTCTGGAAGCTGTATGTCCTATTGCATATCCATTAAGAGACAATAATGTGTAGGTGGAAAGAACAAGGTAACATGGCAAGGTAACTTGACGTCTTGAAGTCAACACAGTCTGTAAATGTTTCTTGCCTTAAACTCAGCATGATATTATGCCATTATTTCAGTGTAAATCATTAAGTCATGTCATAGTTATTTTGAGCAGAAGCTAGTCATCTCACTCTTCATATCTGATGCTCAGGTGTGGAAAAACTAAAACAAAACAAACAAAAAAGCCAATGTGTCTTCATTCAGCTAAGGCCTGATGGGCAATCAAACACAGGCTTGTCTGATTCCGGTATCTGTCATTTCAAAAGCTAGAAACAACTCGGTTTGCCCACCTACAACTGTATCACGGATCCGTTCAGTGCATCAAGATCCACCGCTGTGCAATTCCCTTCACTATTGATTTTACTGCACTTATTTTTCACCTAGTTTTAAAACCCACACCGAAAAGCATGTTCTAACAAATCGCCTCGCTATTGGCCCTCCGCAAGGCCGAGGCTACATCTCACGGAAATAAATAACTTGTATTTCAACCTCATTCTCATCTGTTTGGAGAGGGCAGGAAACATTATTCTTGGATATTGGATCAGTGTGTCAGATAGACACATCCTTGCTTTGATTTGAATGCCTGATGTGGTGCCCCAATCCTGGTCTTGGCTTAGACATAGCGAACGGATGCCAGCAAAGATAGTGGATTTCAGCTTTGAGATGGCTCTAAAAATATTTGCAACTAAATGTCAAGAGTGTTTTTGCAACACAGTGATGTGCCAGTCAGATGACAATCGTGAATTAGAGTTAGTTCTGTTTAATCATCCTCAGTGGATGCAGTATTATAAAAGACCACCAGTACTGGATCATTTGTGACCCTTACAACAAAACCAGTCTTAAGTTGCACGGGTATATTTGTAGCAATAGCCAACAATACATTGTATGGGTCAAAATTATCAATTTTTCTTTTATGCCAAAAATAATTAGGATATTAAGTAAAGATCATGTTCCATGAATATATTTTGTAAATTTCCTACCGTAAACATATCCTAATATAATCCTATCCTAACAAACCATACATCAATGGAACGCTTATTTATTCAGCTTTCAGATTATGTATAAATCTCAATTTCAAAAAATTGACCCTTATGACTGGTTTTGTGGTCCAGGGTCACATTTGGCATTTTTTCTTTCAACTGCGTTAGGTGTCTTACTTGTATTGGGTGACTGGCGGATTAGCTTTGGCAGAGCAATGAAACTTCACCAGGTTTCCCTCCAGGACTGGTTGAGGCTCCACAGAGAGATTCACCAACGGTAAGTCTGCAGAAAGACAAAAGTAATTACAGAAACTAATAAGCAAACATTCCTTTTTTTAGCCTAAATGTTCAGTAATTTTAACCAATATGTGAAAAATTGCTTCTGCTATTATCTGAGGGATTGTTCAGGTAGGAGTGTCGGAAATAATTGTGATTGTATTATAAACTGAATTTGTGAAAAACACTAACTAAAGAACTGTATGTCAAATAAAGAGAGATATACCTTTTTATCTTTGCAATTGAGGACTAATTAGATCAATGGTTTAATCACAAAGCCTTCTATTACAATTAAAACAAAAAGAACTCCACGCAATGGCATTTAAACTGGGATATTAATAACAAACACAAAGATTATGCACAAATACCATAATACCTCTTTTTCTTTTTCTTTTAATTAACACGTTGCCTACATCAAATGTTCTTTTCCCAAAGTAAATAATATTAATGTGCAAAAGTCTAAAATACAATTTAGAGACAAAATGATTCATATCAGTCTACAGATCCAAGAGCTTCATCTGGGTAATTAAAACAAAAAGATGAAGAATAAAATAATTAAAGATGAAGTTTTGGATTTATGTGACTTAAGTAAGTCTACAGCTATAATTTTTTTTCTAAGAAAAAGTAAAACATAAATGAAAACATGATGAATAATTAAAGCAGGTAAACTCATTAATGCTGCAGGCCTGAAAGTTTCCATTAACGAAAATTGTTTAGCATGTTTTAATGTGAAATAGCATGATTAGATGCAGTAGATGTCACTCATATGCCTCTCATGCCGGGCCTAATTTTGCATTGCCCATGTGATGCACTGAAAACAACGAAGATATACAACAAAAACAGCTTTACGGGTCTCCAGGGAGGCTAAAAAAAGGAAAAGAGACCTAATTGTTGTGCTTTTACCAAGACCGGACAGTGGCAAGCGCAGAAGCTAAGCAGCACACATCAGCAATTCAGCGTCCACAGGGAGCAGATAAAGATAGAGGAGCGAGAGAAAGAGAAACCCAGTGCCAGTTATGCGTTTGAGAGCCAGCTATTCTGCATATATGTTTTCTCTGTCCTATTACACTCAAGTAACCCTAATTTAGTCTGTGCTGGCGGAGCTGTATTCAACAACACAGGTCAGCGGAGCAAAAGAAAACAGGTCTGACTCAGCTGGAGTGCCACCGAGGCTCTGCTGCTGTGTGAAGTGTGCGTGTGTGGGCGCATGTCTGCTCTGAAGTACAGTGTTTGGTCCACAGCAGCACAGCTGGGCAGAGCGGCATCCCAGCGGTGGGTGCAGGTGCTGCCCTTTCCCCCATCTGCCTATTTCGACCACACACACTTAGGTTGTCACACCAATACCAACCGTCATTCTTGAGCCCGCGGGACACACCGGCGCAACCATGGACAAACTGATTAGTGCTGTGTGCTGCCCGGTTACCAGCAGGATATGTGTAAAGCGTTTACTCTGGCTAATTGGGCATGCAGGTAGGAGGATATCAGGCGTGTTTATTGGTTGATACATGCTAAAAAAGAGATACAGTTAACCACAGAGTGTACATTGATGGTCTATATTGGCAGAAGCATCATTAATTATGATATTGGTAATTACTATTAACCCTACTGTATTGTATATGATATGCAAATTTATAAGGCCTCTAAATAGCCAGCACGATAAAAACTTGACACAATATACTAGCTTTCTGTCATCTGACTGATAGTTTTAGTCAGTAAAGAAGACCTTTGAGCATAATTATAAAAACGCCCTTCAGCTCGTGGTTCATGTGTCTTTACTTTTAAAATATTTACTGATTGTTATAAAGTAAATGTAAGAATAACTTTTATATTGTTAGAAATGTTTTGAAATGAAACAACTTGATTATCTATAAATAATTTTTTAGAAAAATCACATTAACCTATCAGGCTTTTGAGGAAGGTTTATTTGTTCATCATCATTGTATTGTATTGCATTATATGTTTAACACTAAAAACTACAGAGCTCTGACCATAAAACTAAGCATTTAAATATCATCTTACTAAGGCATATTATCGGAAGATATAGAGTGACTGATATGCAAATCATTTTATTTAAGTAGTCTGCTATATCTCATTGATTTACATTATAAACTATCAGGTTGTAATCTTAATTTTTGGCCATATAAATATAAGCAATTTCATCAAATTGCTCCGTTTGGGCCTCTGTAAAAAACAATGGTGTTTTTTTCCCTTCCCTCCATAAATTTGACCTCCGTTGTGTACTTTAGCATAAGGTAAAAGCCTAATGTATAAAATTAGATACTCAAATAATAATAATAAATGTTTGTAACCAAACAGTTGATGGTAGCCATTGACTTCCACAATATAAATAAATACATGAATAAATGTCAATGGCTACCATCAACAGTTTGGTTACCAGCATTCTTCAAAATATCTTCTTTTGTGTTCAATAGAAGAAAGAAACTCATATAGGTTTGGGACAACTTGAGGGTGAGTAAATGTCACGTATGCTACTGTGTTGGAGCACAGAGCGAGGAACAAGGAGATGTGGAGTACATCAACAAGGAAGTTTTAATAGAAACAAGGGAACCAGGAAAACACACGTAGCTGAGAAGGTGGACATCAACAGTCATTCACAAAACACGGAACAAAGTCTGACATTACTCCCCCCTCCCGGAAGGCGCGTACTGCGCCGTAACAATTCCGGGCGGGGGGGTGGGCGCCCCTGGACCAGGCAGTGGTGCAGCAGACACACTATGAAGCCATGGCGAAGCGGGTAGGTTAGGAGGCCATGGCAGAGCATACAGTTCAGGAGGCCATGGCGGAACAGGGAGCTCGGGGAGCCATGGCAGAACAGGCAGTTCAGGAAGCCATGGCGGAGCAGACAGTTCAGGAGGCAATGGCGGAGCAGGGAGCTTAAGAGGCCATGGCGGATCAGGAGACTCGGGAGGCCTGGCCTCGGCACTCGGCCCGGCCTTCACGGATGGACCCCTACTACCATGGGAACTGGAACCCTTTCTGTGCTAGACACGGGGACTGGAGCCCTCTCTGTGCAAAACTCAGGGACAGGAGCCCTCACTTGGCTAGACTCGGGGACAGGAGCCCTCACTGGGCTAAACTCGGGAACAGGAGCCCTCCGTGGGTTAAACTTGGGAACGGTGGGCTTGGGAATGGCGCGGCCGGCGGGCTGTAGAGAGCCGCGGTCGGTGGACTTGACTGAGGATGGAGGGGACTATGGTGTGATGCCTCTGGGCTGGCGGAGAGGAGACGGGATCCGCAGAGGAACCGAGCCAGGTTGATGTAATCGGGCAGGGTCCACCTGGATCCCCTCATCCAGACGACCCCAGAAACAGTCCTCAAGAGAGCACCGGTCGAAAGACGTCTGCTTGGAGCAGGTGGGGAATTCCCTGATGTAAAGTTCCAGGGGATGGCCATCTTGATAGATAGAACATAACTGCTCCAGGGGATCAATTAAAACAATTCTAAAGAAAACACTTTTAAACAAAACGAGAAAACAAAACGGGGAGAAGGGGTGCCGCTTACTGTCTTGGTCCGGTATTCTGTCACGTATGCTAATGTGTTGGAGCGCGGAGTGAGGAACGAGGAGACGTGGAGTACATCAACAAGGAAGTTTTAATAGAAACAAGGTAACCAGGAAAACACACGTAGCTGAGAAGGTGGACATCAACAGACATTCACAAAACACGGAACACAGTAAATTAATCATTTTGTAAATGAATCTGACAGCAAATTAATCATTTTTAAGTGAACTATCCCTTTAAGAACACTCAATTCCTGTGATAAAGTCGTTGCACCGAAAAGTCTTCAGTGACTTATTATTTTCAATGTTTTTGATGTGAACATTCATTTTGGCCATAGCTGTTTTGAAGCACATCATGATTGCCTTTGATGTCAGTTCAAGTCTTTTGAGAGTGACCCTTGAGGGAGACGAAAGCCATCAAAAGTGTTGTCTACTTATGACAAAACTGAAAAGTGACATTAACTTTCTGTCTTAAATAATGAAATAAGCACTTTTAAATGGATGTTTGGCCCTGGAGGTCTGACTAGCGTCTCTCAAAGGCCTGGGCTCCAGAGGCAGGCTGGCAGAAGCTCGCTAAGACTCCCCATGACCCCCAAATCTATCGACAGACAGTGTCTTAATAAAGAAGTCTGTTTGTCACTTTGATGTATAAATGCATGAGTCTCTCCGGCCTGAGCAGAACGCGACAGGCCATCAATGTGCAGCTCTGCTAATTCCTCAGCTTCATCAGCAGGGAGAGCCCGAATGTTTGAAACACGGCTTCAACAATGACAACCCCCAAAACAATGGGATTGGAGGAGATAAAAAAATTATTATTTAAAATAAAAGGGTTTGGGGGGACAGTGGTGAGATGACAGCTTTTGATCGGAAGTTCAAAGCAAAGAGCAGATGGCAGTTTTGAACAATCAGCCAACTTCCCCAGAATTGCGAGGAAGGTGCCAAAGAAAATGGCTTCTCTGTCTTTCTTAAAGCTTGATTTCCATTCTCCCCGGGTCATTGTAGCCAGCTGTTCTCGGTGAGAAAGAGAGAGTTGATGGCCTGGTATCAGCAGGAGGAGGGCGATTTAATCTCTTTATAACTCAACTGAATCTGTGCCACAGCGCGGGTTTCACTGACACTGAGGTCTCACATCAACTTTTGCACTTTCTCCGAACACAGCTCATGCGTCTATATTAAGGCCCTTTTTCGGTGAGTTTATTTGGCGACAAAGTAAGTAACGGTTTCTGGCAAGTATTTTCAATATAAGTAATGTAGAAACACACACAGACACACACACACACACACACACACACACACACACACACACACACACACATACACACACACATACATACACACACACAATATAAAGACTCATGACTTAATCATCTTTATGTACCACTGATTTACTGTATGCTGTTAAAATCCCCCTGCAGTCACACTGTTATGCCTTCAAACTCATCTTTGATAATCAAAAAATTACATATTCAAAGTTTCTTCCCAATAAA